TTTGCTAGCTTCCAGTCATCCGGGACCTCCCCGGTTGACCAGGACTGCTGATAAATAATGGAGAGTGCACTGGCCAGCTCCTCTGCCAGCTCCCTCAGTATCCTCGGGTGGATCCCGTCTGGCCCCATGGACTTGTGCGCATCCAGGTGGAGGAGCAGGTCAGTGACTGCCACCTCTTCAACAACTGGGACTTCACCCTGTGTCCTATCTCCATCTCCCAGCTCAGGGGCCTGAAAAACCCGAGGATGTCTAGCTTGACTATTAAAGACTGAGGCAAAGAAGGCATTAAGTACCTCTGCCGCCTTCTCATCCTTCGTGGCCAGGTTACCTTCTGCATCCAACAAAGGAGAGAGATTCTCCCTAGCCCTCCTTTTGTCACTAACATATTTATAAAAACTTTTTTTTGTTGTCTTTAACAGCGGTGGCCAGTTTAAATTCCAGCTGCACCTTCACCTTTCTGATCTTCTCCCTGCATATCCTCACAACATCCTTGTAGTCCCCCTGATCTATGGACTTTTTTATGGACTGGAAGAAATGTGGCAGTAAAATATTTCATGTTTTAACAGAAGTATGAGCCTTATTCATACCTTGTCATCTATCAAAAATTGTGCTAATCTTCAGCTTTACAGCAGCTTTCTCGCATATAATGATGGGGTAATTTACAAAAATTTATAACTCACAGTGTTCCTGATTTTCCCTGTCTTCATTCAAGAAGAGTGTGAGTGGTATGATCACGCTTGTGGCTGGTGGTTATTATGCCTTGATGCTGGCGCATCCTAACAGCTGTTCTGGTGTTTTTTTCTCTAATTCCCATCTATGCTGTTTTGCTTCACTAAATAATCTTGATCCTAAACAGCAACTCAAAATTACACTACACCATGTTTATGTATTATTAGATACTTGGAGGATGTTATTTATTTTATTTTTTTTTCCCAGCTGTCATATCCACTTAGGTGTTTCCAGTGTTTTCTCTTGTCTTTCCTGTAGTCTTAGTTGCCAGCCTAAAAAAGCCGGGTGTTGATTTAAACACACTTTTAGTACTGCAAGTGGGATGACTGTCATTTCACTGTAAGTTCTGCAGCATGGTTGTTGCCATGCTATGCTTAGATCCCAACTGCTCTGAGTCAAATACGGGAATACAAGAATGTAAGTGTTGGTGTTTCCTAAAGTTAAGTGTAAATCAATAACAGAAAGCTGAAAATGCACTGTCAGATTAACTGATGTCCCTTATTACTGGAACAAATTAACCATTAGTCAAGGACAGTGCTTTGTCATTACAGACTTTGGTATTTTCCCTGTAAAGTGGTGATTTTTCTTTTTCACGAAAAAGAAAACTGGTAAATAAGCTATTAGATGTAATAACACTCTATTTTAAATAGCCCCAAATTGCTGAAGGGTTTTAGGACAGCTGTTCCCTCCCTTATCCTTTCAGGTGTCTCGCTGCTTTAGCTGGGTAAGAGGAATTGCCGTCAGTGACTCGGTAGATTAGTCATGAGATGTCGGAGTCTAGTTTAACATTTGGTAAGAATTAACAATTGGGATTTTGACTGAATAAGTAGCTACCTGTATGCTTGGGATTGCCAGTGTCTACTCTAGATGGGACATGTTTCCTACTGATAGAAGTACGAGTCATGCGTATGACAAGGGTTTGTTTTCTTAATTGAAAAGATTTGACTGTAATTGCATGTTTTGAAGTGTTTGCCTTAGAGATGAGAAGCACTTATATTTTTAGTTCTGCTTAACAGAGATAAAAATAGATTGTTTATAGAGAAAACAGAAATAAAAGGAATTAAAATAAAAATAGGAGACGTATTGGCAAGGATCGTGCTTATTTGCATATTCAATGAAAATAACAAGCTATAGAAAGCCAGTTTCCCATGCAGTATTTATTGTAATGTTTCATTTAAAAATTCAGTTGAAGAGCTAAACATGGTAAGATAAAGTGAGGTGACCTCTTCTGGGACCAAGTCATAGGAAGATAAAGGATAAAAGTCTCTTTTGATGTTCAGAGAATTAGGCAGCAGGTTACACCAACAAGATTTAATTTTCTGGTATGTGCTAAGAGAAGTGGCACAGTATCAAGATGCAGCAAGTGGGATTACTTTCTGAAAAAATTGCGTACCAAATTTAAAATGCTTATTTAAATGATACATTCAGTATGGGGAAAAATGAAGGAAACAGCTGAGCCTGCAGTTATTTTATAAAATCTTACTGGTTTGTTGTGCTGCTCCCTTGAATTAGTCAAGGGAGCAATGTACGGTCTCACCTTGCTTTGCTAAGTGGCAGTTATTCCTGCGCCACAGAGGGTAAAGGACAACAGAGCAGCTTCCCTATAGCATATTTTCCAGCACATCTTTCTGTGTAAGTAGAAACACCAATATACGTGTACAAAAATGGGTATGGTGAAACCAACCTAACCCCCTTTTTTTAAGGTTGCAACTTTCAAACTCGACAGTGAATAGTTTTATAATTAATCCTATTTTCTAGTGGACAAAATAGGGAAGAAGCTTTCTCAAGTACACGTGGTACTTTGAGTAGTTGTGACCTGTTTCTTTTTTGTCCCCCAATGAGTCCAGTTTCTCTCCCCAGGGCGTCCTGTTTTCGTGCCACTCCAGCACGTTCTCAGAACTGAACAGCTTTCTTACAGAGTAAGAATATGGTGTAATGTATTGTGGGCGGTTTGTTTTCTTGGTTTCGTATTAAAAACACATGCAAACATTTATATGAGAAAACACAGCTGAAGACTGCTATACTAGCAGTTTATGAAATTTTGGAACTTGGGAATTCTGTTTTTTGGAGTGGTACGTGAGATTTCTTCTCGGTATCTGCGCCATTCCCGCGCTCGCTCTTTTCCTTACTTTGCTGCCCTGAATAGTCCCTTCCACTTGCCTTATTGCTCCTACTCATTGCAGCTTCTCTAAAAATGAGCAGAAGTCCTGCTTTGAAGACTCAGCCAAAGAGGCCATTTCTGAATGATTTCTATCATGGTATTTATGCAGAGCCCACTATAATTAAGTTAGCTTTTGTTGGAAATTCACCAGCACACCAAAATGTGTGTTGTCTTCCCTAAGTCTTGCTCCTTGGGCTTGTGATATGAAGAAGATTTACATTTCGAGACATTCTTTCTGTTGTACCTGTGACTTTGGAGCATCATTGGTCCCTTTTACCACGCAGTGTGCTCTTCTTGGCCTGCTTTTCTCCCACTATGTTCAAAGGGTCTGTGAATCACGATTTGATGTTGAGGCTCATGACCTGTGGTACTGCATCTGATGACAGGCATAGGCACCACATGTATCCTAATTCTTTACATTTAATCTTTTATAAACTGAAGATTTTTTTTCGTTGCCTAAAATAGTGATTGCCAGTTGGGTGACAACATTGGTTATTTCCACCTTGATTTCCAGTGGTTGGATGGGTGGACAGGTAGATTGGTTATTTTAAGGTATTATAACATTTACAGTTACTTTATCATATGCAAAGATTTTGTATTAACTTTTTTAACTGCTGGATATATTTCTAAGTTAGAAGTGAATACCTCTGCTGTGTTAGAACTTATTTCACTCAAAAGAAAAGTTTTGGGAAAGTAAAGTGTAAAACACAGTTCTTGGCAAATTCTATAAAGAACTGCTGAGAACTTAGGTGAATATCACATTCACAGCCACCTGTAGTTCATACTTGGTTTTATATCCAGGAAAATGTGAAAGAATTCTTTACTTAATTGTAGACTTATGTAATATGTAATCTGTTAATGACATGGATCTGTTACTCACAGCTATCACGTATCTCTTGTAACAATTTTCTTGTAATAACCCATGACAGCCATAAAATTCTGGAATGAGATCTGGGCATAGGAGTAAAACCTGCAGTAAGTTCTCTTAGTCACATTCAAGATAGTCTGAAGTATAGCTTTTTTCTGCCTGACCTGGCTATGAACTGTTTTATTTTGCAAAAAAAAGTTAAGTGCTTCTCAAAAAGAGTGAGATCTGCCTTCATGTGAAGTCTCTAAGTACTTTCTTTCCAATTAAACCTTTGTGACCGAGCATTCTGAATGTATGGGAAGCAAATAAATGGCTCTGGATGCTAGTTTTTGTTCTTTTAGCTAAAAAGAATCTTCCAAGTGCACACTAAATGTAAATGTTATTATGCCATTTATACACAAAATCTTAAAATTTCAGGTTTCCTGTAAGGACTTGCCTTGGAAGCACAAAATTCCCTTAAAACAGACATTATTCCTTCAGGTCAGGGAGAACCTTGGCATTTCAGTCCTCCAACCAAAGTCAGAGTTGACTACATGGTATATTGAAAATAATGTGTTTCTGAAGAGACAGCGGCTGTTTTTCTAGATGGGATGTCCTTCATAGTCTAAGCAAGCTCTGAATGCATCTAATCTTAAAGCCAACCGGACTGCGTACCCTCCCCCGGCAACAGAATTTCTGAGTTTCAGGTCTGAGAAGAAGGTGAGAGCTGCAAGTGAAAACTGAAATATGGTGGTAATGGCTTACCTTTCTAGGTGGCACTTCAGAAGTCTTAAAGCAAGTATTTGGGGACAGCAGGCCAGTAATGTTGTGGCTCCTACAGAATACTGATGCCTCAGAACTGAACTTGAACTGTTTTCAGCGTTTTCATACAGAAAGATTAGGTCCCTTCGTTTATGCTTAGGTACACATGATCACAGGAAGCATTTCTCTGCTTCTTAAACAAATTTGTTACGGTATGCTCGCACTGACATCTAGAATTCAGTATATGGTGCCAGATAAAAACAGCAATCACAAACCATATTCTCTTTCCTTACATGTTTAGGAAAATATCTCCAACTTTGATATCGTCATGGAGTCTGATGAGGGCACCTTCAAGCCATCTGGACTGGGTTTTACTGGCAATGCTAAAGCTCGGGACATCGTGAAAGAGATCATGACACTGCTGCAGCCCATCAATGTTACGGATGTTTACGATGACGCAGATGGAATGGACATCGATTACTGGATGAGAGACGGGGTGCCTGGTGAGCATGCTTTATAGGTGACACTGCTCCTCCCATGCAGTGGCATGTCAGATGGGTGGTCTGGTGTTTTGAAAATAGTAAGAAATGCTTTCCTTCAAGGAGTAAAATTTACTGTAGGTAAAATGCTGAAATGCTATAAGGTGACCAACAGAAATAGGACATAAAGTGCATTTGAGCTGCAGTTTAATAATGGTATAGATTATACGTAGCATAACATGCCTGAAATCTTCTTTTCGGCTTTAAGGATTTATAATAATTAATCCCAGACTGGTGGTTTATAAATAGTAAACTCAGGCAGAGGGGAATTCTCCAATGCAGAACAAATAATTTTTTTATTACTATTATTATTTTGGCTTTGAAATACAGGGCTTTTTCTCCCTGTTTTGTATGCTGAAGAAACAATGTTTTTGAGATGTGACATTTAAAAGGTTATGGGGCATTAAGGTGTGCTAAAGGGGTAAAATTCTGTGAAGTTTGAACTGGTTTAGGGGTTTGTTTGGAGTATTGTATCTGGCTCCCAGTGAGGAGCAGCTGGTTGGCAGAGGCTTGCAAGCTGTGAGAGAGCTCCACCACTGGCAGCCCCCCGTGCAGGAGACCCCACACTAGCACGAGGGCTTGCAGAGCACAAGAGTCTCAATTAGAGGCCAACCTGGGTGAAGCCTTAGTGAATTTCCATGGCAGTTTCCACGCTTGAATAATAATACAAAGAAAAAAGTTTCATAACACTGATACTTAAAAAATTATGATCAGTGTAAAAATTTTAAGGTTCTTTTCCTCCGGTGTTTTATGATTGAAGTAGGCTGGCACATTTCTCATGCTAGTTTTACTAGTAGTTCCAATATGCTTAGAATCTTTTAATATTTGATTAACTGCCTGGTTTCTTACTTGGTCTTGTGGAAGATACAGTGGGTCGTGGAATATGTGCTTCTTATTTATGAGCAGAACCTTTGCTTCTCACTCACCTAGGGTGTACAAAGATACCTTAAAGTTGACTGCTTTGATAAATGTACGAATATCTAACTTTCAAAGCAAAATATCTATGCTGGGCAAGAAGAATGGATGAATGGGTATTATTAAACAGCTAGGGATTCATCTTCAGCTGGTGTGCTGCTTTCCAGGTGAGGTGCAAGCTATTCGGTGCAATGTCATATAGCTGTGACACTGGTGTGCACTCATGTTCCTAGGCTCTGTAAGATGCCTCTGCACCTTACATGAGCGTTAGGACCATGCGCTGAGTTGAGTTGAGCTGAGCTGAGAGACTGTAAGCACTGCTGAGAGGCTGTAGCCATGCATCGTCCTCCACAGCCTGTAAGCACCCATGCAAAGACATCTGGTCTAGAATTTCAGACCAACATGTCTGTGCTGTAGTTGGAATATAAGAACTCACCACTTGGCCCGTGTTTAGCAAATGCAAGTGTATCAGAATTATTTCCCAGGTGAGGTGTTGGAAGCATTACAGATGGTCCTTGGGGATTTCCATTGTGCTTCCCATCCTGAGTGCAACAGATTATGGAAGAAGAAAGAAAAATTTAACATTGAAATGCCTTGTTTTCAGTTGATAATGTGAGTGGTGCTTGTGATGACAGTGTGTATTGAGCTCTTGTACACCACTGTTCATCACCTGAGGTGCACCTGGAGCATAAACAGCTACAGCCTGCCATGGTCCTCTTGATTAGTCACCTGGGCTATGTGTGTAAAGTACACTCAGCAGGAGCAGGGCAGAAACGGGAACCCTCTCCTATAGTCATCCGTACTCCTCAGAAAGCATAAACTATGAAAAATATCACAAACTCTAAGCTCAACTTTGGGAAAATATAAATACACCACAACTGAGACCTCAGTTTTTAAATAAATCTGATTTGCTTTCCTGTTAAAAATTTGGCACATTAATTGATGGTGGCTTTTTTTGCTGTCTGAAGCTTTGATTCATTTAACTTCCCGTTAAGCAAATAACAAAGTGTTCTTGCAGCATAAAGGAACAGTGATTCTTTTTTTCCCCATCAAGCCCCGGAGGGAAGGAATTGCTCCACTAAAAGAATTTCGGCTGCTTTAGATTGTATTTCATACTGTATCAGGGAGAAGGCTAAGACATCTTGTAATCTTCATGCCTTGTCTGCAGTATTCTCACTGCTCGAATGAGCCCTTATGGTATATAATAACATTGGAACAAATTGAACACACTGTAACAGCTTTTATAATTTTGTCCAATTTAAACAAGCAGTCAAGTGTTGACACTTCATCGTTTTTATTTAAATATTTTCTTGAAAATACACTTCGTGGGTTTGTTTCTGCAACAGTGAGAGAAAATACGGTGTACTTCTTGAACAATAAGAATGGTTTCTGACATAATTTCTCTAGAATTTTTCTCCTTTTCGGTGCTAAATAGATTCTGGGATTTGCCTTTTTGGATGCTATTAAAATTCTGCTTCTCCTGCTCCTTTTGGTCTGAAAGATCTGCAGACGGCAACAGGACGTGTGTTTTTCAGAGCTGTTCATAGCTGCTCCTGAGACAGGCGAAGTGACTCTGGCTCCTTACTCTCTGCAATTTCCAGCATGTTTATTTTCAATGGGCATGCAATGAAACATCATTCGTAATGTTACTTAAATGCATGTGCAAGAAGACAGCGGTGACTATTCTGAGATTTTAGGGTGAGAGAGGCCAAGAGAGTTCAGAGTGCTTTGCAAACCATAGACTGAAGCTTAACTAATACCTCTAAAGCATGAGCAAGGTGATCTGCACCAAACACAGCAGTTTAATGCATTGTGACTGTGGAGTGTTAGAAATATTTCCATCAGTGGCCTTTACGTTGGATTATTTTAAGAACAGTTCAGCCCAGCAGTGAGGAATGTCTGTAGCTGTGTTTTTCTAGTGATAACCAGTTTTCAGCTACTGAAAATATTTGTATAACATTTGTTTTGCTTTTTCATGAAGCATAAATCAAATGAAATGGGGTTTTTGTGGTGTCATGTTTTACGCTGTGGTTTTACAGTTTGAGGTGACCACTGGTCCTAAGACTGCTCCTTTATTAATTATACAATTATCTTCCTCAGCTCTCTTTTTAAGGGTTCAATTACGTATTTGTTTTTAGTTAGGGATACATCTAAACCGTGGCACATAAAGCTGTTCCTTTCCAACACTGAGTCCTAATCAAGTTTGGCCAGAGTTTGCAAGTATAGGTGGGGAAACAGGTTGGTCGGGTTTATTTATTTGGTTTCTTTGCATACTTTCTCACAACAGGCTTCTTCAGTGTCTGAAAGGGTTAAAAAAACATTAAGCAAGCCCTGTTAGACCAGCGCTTAGGTATTTTTGTTGAAAAAGCAAGGTATCTGATGATGACAAGGATGCTTTGAACATGATTTAGACCAGGTCCTAAGGTAACAGCACCGGGGCTGAGTCAGCCTTCCCTGCAAACCTTCAGAAACTGAGAAAGGGGAATGAAGTGATTCTATTTGTGTTATGGTATCCAGTGAGCATTAGTTCAGCTTTAGGTGTTAGGAGAGAGGAAAACGGGTTCTCTGCTATGTTTTAGAGGGAAGGCTGTTGTGACACAGTATTTCCAGGAGAGCTGGTTCAAGGATGCTCCTTTCTGCCGGGTTATCTGTTGCTGCAGTGCTTATGATGGGAACACTTGTCTTTTAGAAACTGAGCTGTATTTGAGATCGAGCTGACCCAGGACATCAAACAACTCCCAAAAGGCATGTGGCAACTCCTCTATTTAAAATTCAACCAGTGACCTAAAGGTGAAACTCCTTTTTACAATGTCACTCTGAACCTGGATGGTTGTTCGTGCCTCTCTGTCTCCACAGTGACGGTGTCTTGCTTTTTTGTTACATTACACAAGAGGATGAATTATTCTTCCAGAAACTAATAAACCAGTAGCTCATCTAACTTTAGTGTTTCTTCAGAAATCAAAAATTCATTGCTAACCCAATCTATTAGTAATTTTCTCGGAGGTGGCAAACAAATACCATCATATATCATTTCTCTCATTTTTATATTTTCATAGTGCTTCTTTATTACTTTCATCTGAAATAAGATGTATTTTGGCCCTTAGACACCAGACTTTGACATGCATGGTTTCCTTACTTACTACCTAAGAGGTCAAATACTTAAGTTTCCACCCCTTTTCTGGAGCAAGCTGCCCACCTGTCCCCCCGTCCCCATCATCCCTTGTAGCACCCAACTCCAGTGCGAGCCTGCCGGCATGCTTGAGCCAAACCAGCTCCGCTGCTCCGTGTCAGCCAGAGGCGTGTTTGAGAAAGTGGTGGAATGGGAAAACTCCCTGACTTGAGGTTGTCAGCTGGGCATGAAGAATTGGGTAAACTCTCTATTTCCCAAATTATAAGTAGGTAAACTCTGTTCACTCTTGGCTATATCGCTGTTTGGAAGTGATACTCCACTGTGATGCATGAAGCATTGCCCCTCAGCATACCTGCCTCATACTCTCTGCAGACTTGGGCAGACTCTTTGGATCCAGTTTCTCAGCTTTTTTTTTATTGTCAAAAGAATAAAAACTGTAAGGAAAAAGAGGAAAAATCAGATTCACATAGTCTAGGACTTCATAGGCCAAGCTGAAAAGCCTGTGGCTTGATTGTGCGCAGATAAGGGACGTTTCACTTGACGAA